GGGCGGCGCTTACACCGGACTCCGCCAGCGCAATGTGGGTTGGGCGTGCTGAGCTGGGGCTAGGGCTGGGCGGACAGCACGGGGTGGCAGTCATGTGCACTTGGCATCGTCCTTTCCACCACCCTGCTTCCTTCTCACCACTCGCTCCCTACCCTTGGTTCCTTGCTCACGCTGCAGGGCAACTACGTCGCGCTGCTGGGCAACATCCTGTTCCCGCTCATCGCCTTCGGCGGCCTGTTCTTCCTGTTCCGCCGCGCTCAGGGCGGCCAGGGCGGCGGCGGCATGGGCGGCCCCATGGGCGGCCCCATGGACTTTGGCCGCAGCAAGTCCAAGTTCCAGGAGGTGCCCGAGACCGGGGTGACCTTCGCCGATGTCGCGGTGCGTGGCTGGGCTTTCCAGCTAGAGCTTGGGGTGCAGCAGTTGCTGCCTGCTTTTTAGGGGGCGATGGCGGGGTGGGCTTCAGAAGAGAGTGGAAGCGACACAGACCTCAGCCAGGGGATCTGCACCCAGGATCGCACACGCACACGCTACGAAATCAAGTGGCGCTGGTTGTTCAAACCAGCCCTCACAATTCGTACTGCTCAGCTGCTTTGTCATCTCACGCACCCACTCCCGGCAACGCCCCCACCACCTCTCTGCACCCTGCCGCCCCCTTCCCTCGCCACCTGGTTCAACCCCCCCCCCTCTCCAGGGCTGCGATGGCGCCAAGCTGGAGCTGGTTGAGGTGGTGGACTTCCTCAAGAACCCCGACAAGTACACCGCGCTGGGCGCCAAGATCCCCAAGGGCGCCCTGCTGGTGGGCTCACACGCGACGGACGGATGCTGTCTGTGGCAACTGGCATGTGGTGAAGGCGCCTGCGGGGCTCGAGCCCTCAGGCGGTGAGGCCTGTGGACCACATTCCCCTTCTCCTTTTTTTCATTCATGCTCGCCGGAGGTGGGACGTGGTTTTTGAATCTGTGTCACTCTCCCCTCACCTGAGCTCCTGTGCCACTCTCCCCTCACCTGTGCTTCTCAATGCCCTCTCACCTGTCGTGACGGCCCTCTCACCCCACCCCCTCCTGTCGCAGGTCGGTCCCCCTGGTACGGGCAAGACCCTTCTGGCCAAGGCCGTCGCGGGTGAGGCCGGCACTCCCTTCTTCTCCTGCGCCGCCTCTGAGTTCGTGGAGCTGTTTGTCGGCGTGGGCGCCAGCCGTGTGCGCGACCTGTTTGAGAAGGCCAAGGCTAAGGCGCCCTGCATCATCTTCATCGACGAGATTGACGCGGTGGGGCGCCAGCGCGGCAGCGGCCTGGGTGGCGGCAACGACGAGCGCGAGCAGACGATCAACCAGCTGCTGACGGAGATGGACGGGTTCGAGGGCAACACCGGCGTCATTGTGCTGGCTGCCACCAACAGGTGGGCTGGAGTGGGTGAAGAAGGCTTTCTTGGTCAGAGATGCCGAGGGTGCATCATCAAACTGTGTGTTCTAAACACCATCAACCCCTTCCATACCCTCCTTTCACAACACTCTTCGGCCCCCATGCATGCACTTCCACACCCACCTCGCCAGGCCTGATGTGCTGGACCAGGCTCTCCTGCGCCCCGGCCGCTTTGATCGCCAGGTGCAGAAGCTGTATGCGAACCCTCTGGCTGCGGCCAAGGCCAGCTAGGGCGGCTTCTTGTCCTTTGTTAAGTGTACTGCATGCGTGCTGCACACGGGCTTGTCTCGTGTCGCAATTGATGCCATGCTGTCCATGTGACCCCGTTGTTGCGTCGTGCCCTTCACTCATACCTACCTCCGTATGCCTGACCCCCCACCATCAGGTCACCGTGGACCGCCCGGACGTGCAGGGCCGCGTGGCAATCCTCAAGGTCCACGGCCGCGGCAAGGTGAGAGGCAAACAAAACCTTGTTAAACCATGCATCAGCACGCTGCTGCCGCAAGATGCACAGCCTGTTTGCACAGATCTTTTCACCTCAACCTAAGGCCCAGCGCCGTGGAGCCACCTCTTTGCTCAGGGCACCCTTGAATCATCCCTGCCCTGGCTCCTTAC